CATCCGACCAAACGTCCAGCGGAGCCCGCAGTACACTGTGCACGCGGCACAAGCGCACAGCGCCCTCACCTGGTTTAGCCCGCCGGTCGAGGCGGTTGCCCGGGGTGTGGCCGCTGAGCAGAGCCCAGCTACGTGGAGCCACCCAGACACTCACTACCGCGTAAATAACACGCCGCGACTGAAGCTCTCCGTGAACGGCCGTTTTTCTCTGTTGCAAGCAAACAGCCAGTTTACGGCAACTTGCCCTGTGTACAGAATAAATTAGTCCTCACAGCTCCCTGACTTCTGTCATTAGACGAAACGAACTTATTGTGCGTGGTTTAAGTTGATCTCACATCCTTGACCGTCGCAGTAGGAAATATAATGCAGTTTATATAATCATCTTAAACCAGTGGAAAATACGCATTGCTCAGGTGAATATTGTCAAGGTAAAACTTAAACCAGTGACAGAAAACATAATCCACTAAATGCCGGCGTGCATGCATGAACGAATTGACTTCATGTTTACCAGCACTGCGACCGCGCTTAAAAATATGTTCTGTTCCAAAGCATTTTTAGGAAAGTCACGCAAGGTTTCACAAACTTCAGCGCACCTCTATGTGCATATTTCAATGGAATTCAGAGGAGTTGGGCCAATAAGATGGGGAGAAATGAAATCCTTTATCAACACTAACCGTAGACTAGAATGCCCAATAGTTAAGCGAGACTATGATCACCTTCAACGAGTAATTTGACGGTCTGTGTTATAACGTCCTGTGGATAGGAGCGCCTAACGTAATTGCAAAGCATGTGGTCTCTCAGTAAACAAAAAACATGGATGAAACTGCAACAGGAATACGTATGGCTACATTCTTCAACATACGCGTGGACCCTGCTCCTGGCTTTGAGCCGCAGAGAGGTAAAACTGAGTCTCAGCAGACTAAGCTAACCAACGGAACGGCAAAATATGCAAAATAGTCTCAAAATGCATAAGTTAGGAAAACTTTTCGAAAGTTAAACCGTTAATAAACGTGTGATCTGGTTGGAACCTTTCCAGTTGCGGAAGATTTCGTTATTTCAAGGTTTCCTAACAAAACGTTAGCAGACTCTAATGGTACGAAACCGCCAAGGCTACATCATCTTGGGACTTGAAATCAACTCGAAGGGAGTGCAAATAATGAGGCCAACTGTCTGTCATGCGAATTGCACCATACGCTTTAAAATTCAATGAAAATGAGAGAAATGACTATTAGCCCCCTGCTTTAAGCATGATTGACCGAATGGCCCTAATCAAATTCCATTAATTCATATTGATCCAACTGTGATTAGACTTGAGTCTTCCAGTGGGACCTCATGACTCAGGTGGCTAGAGCGTTGGCTGTACTAAAGCCTTCCCCATACTGCTGTGGGTTCGAATCCCATCGAGGTGCCGAGTTTTTCACAGCTGGGTCAATGAGAATTATTCGAAATCTGCCAAAACATCTATAAAAATAATTTGAGTTCTCTTTTCTGCGCAGTATAATTTGTGACCCTCAGACCTGTACACTTTTTCATTTCTAACCTTGCTTTGAATTATGTCTGCGCACTCGGGAATTTAACCCAATCAAATGTGTGAACAGGGGCCACATGAAGTGACTGAACGATGATAGTGGTGAAAATACCATTACGAAAAATAATCCTGGATTATGTGTTCTCCAGAAGGCACATCTCGGTCACCTGACGTTTTGTACAGCAACATCGATCATCTGTCCTCAGCGACTCACACACGAGTCGTAAATTCCGTCGGACATGAGATTTAACCAGTCAGTGCCGACCGCGGGTATTTGCGCATTCTGCTGACTCACAGACGGAAGCAGTTGCAAGGAATGCCTTGCTTTCCAGTGACATCCGGAGTGATGTCGACTGATGGCACGATGTGCCTCCACTTTGGATGCTGGTCAGTGCCCATTTAACGGTAGATATTGCCATCTGAAGAGGGGTGTTGCATACCATTTGAACAGTGGTTTGGATCGAACGACAACGCCCCAGTCGGCATTCTCTGTACGCAATTGACTGTCTGATGAGGATTAATTTCTCTGTGCGTGAGCTGCACAGAGGGTATCCCTGTGAATGAGAATCGACTGCCGATGTAACTATGCCCCATGCAAAACAACCAATATGCTCTTCTGAGTGAAAATCTCATTCTCTAGCTGCATGGTGGCTTGGGGACTTTCATGCAGTTGCGAGGAAATATGTGAGTGAAAAAAGTGTTACGGAAATAGATTGCGGATAAAGACAAAAGAGACTGGGATGGCTCTTTCAGGCTCATTAATCATCATTAGCCAGCAGTACCCGACTACAGGTTCGATTCCCCGGAGTTGCTAAAACCTGGGGTTGGGTATGGCTGGCCAGTGGCGGTTAATAAGCCAGAGCATAATCAGACAGCGTCCATCATCCTTGCTTTGGACGGTCCCGCTCCACATGCCTGCGCAACTGGAATAGTAGGCGAAAGTCCTAGACGCATCTTAATTACTTCTCTGCCAGCCATAAATCGCAAACTGAAATTTCTATATGACAGTTCGACCTTCGATTTCGACGATGTCCACCGTGTGCCCCACAGCTGCAGCAGCGGTGGGAGCAGGGACGGTGACTTACACAGGGGTTTATAGTGCCAGTAGACTTGCGTAGCATCTACCTACACTCTCTCCTCCTCCCCCGCCTGGGCCCGGTGTCAAGACAGAGTCAAGAAGACCGGAGACGAGGGAGGCCGCAGGTGTATGGCTCGGACGGATCCTCACCTTGGCGTTCCACCACACCCCCTGGTCCACACAACAATAACCAGGATTTGAACCAACACAACATAGATTTGGAGGCTGGCACGGCCGAAGCCGCACCTGGGCGTGCC